TTTACTTTTATTGAATAATATATTTTCAAAAAAGGTAACTCAGTGTTAATAGATACTTTTTGAAAAAGAATTCATAATTGAGAAGATTTTAGACTATCCTAAGCTAATGACTGAGTTTTTAAATTATTAATATTCATAAATGTTCGTATTTGACTTATAATATAAATGAACAAGCGATAGAGATAGAGATGAVATTATATTATGGTGTGGATAATAAAATAGAYCGTTATAAARATTAATTGTATTATCTAATTTGTACAAAAAGATAAACTCTATGCATATACAAATTATACATTGTATTATATTAYATTTTATTTTATAATTTTATAGTCTTTCTTTTCTGTACTTACTAATTAATWAATTATATTTTTTATTTAGATCTCAAGGATAGCAGATCCCTTAAGCTATTAAAATGGAGAGCAGAACGTGATAGACTTAAAAAAATAGAACAGACAAAGAAAAAACCTGCTTTCAAAGTAGGCGTAGTCCATCATAATTACTACTCTCCTCCGATAAAAGATTCTAATGTACTATCTGCTATTAAATTATCTATAAATAATCAAAAACAAGTTACACAACCTACATTACCATCGAAAAGAATAACGAGAGCTACTGAAAAACGTCTTCTTAGGAAACAAGAGATATTGACTACCGAAGTACCACCAAAACAAAATGTTACAGAAAAAAAACAAAAGAAATCTGAAGGAAAAAATAAAAGAAAAAATAACGTTAAAACTGAAGTAAAATCTTTTGCACCTGATAATTATACATTTACTGCTCCAAGCAATATAACAAGTATGCCTTTATTTGGACGTGTGAATATAATACTTACACCTGTAAAAGAATCAAAATCAATTAAAAATAAGACTAAAGAAGAAATATCTTTGTTGAATAAAAAGTCAGAATTATTAGATCAAGAATGTAATGAAAAAACTGATATAAATGATAAAATGCCTAGTACTAGCATAATTAACAATTCAATAGAAACATTAAAAAATAATCGTGAAATGACATTTGATTTTCTTGACAAAGAAGGAGAATTTCTTAGAAATAGTACTTTTTCCGATGATAGTAATCATTCAAAAATTATACTGTCGCCTGGCAATATTTCAC